CCCCGCCGCGACCTTGGGGAGCGGAGGGGCGGCCGGCCTTCGCGGGCTCTTGCCAGGAGCTGGGGCAGCCTTCTGGGTGTCGTTACTTACATCAGCAGAGAATTAAGGTCTGGGGAGGCGGGTGGAGGGCTCTGCGGGACCTGTGACGCTGATGAACGCTTCTGTGTTCCCAGGTTTGAAGTTTGGATTCAGAAGTTAGGAGAGTCATTGCTTGGCTTGTACCTACCAGCAGTTTTTAATCTGCCACTGTTATTACAAACAGGTAAAAGATAGGAGGGAGGTATGTACATATATAATACCAGTGTAGTTTTGGCTAAGTCCTAAGTCTTCTGAAAGCGGCAATGTGCCCTTACGGATCAGAAAACTACACTTCCTTGGCTCTTAAAATTTCCATATTTTTATAGGCATCTCTGTTTTTCCTTCTGCTGCCAAACTTTCAGTGGGTACCTGTGGGTGATTTGGCATGCGCTCCCTTTGGGGACTGGCACAAGCTGATAAGCACTCGGCGTGATGCAAGCGGTGTGCATTTTACTGAAGGCAGGCAATTGTTTCTCTCTGGTAATTCCCTTCATTTAGAGGCTGTCTCACCGATCTGTCATTCTGCCTCTAAATGAGAAGCAAAACTGCGGAGTGCTGTGTGAACGCTAATGAGGTGTATAGGATAATGAGGTGTAACTTGGTCTTGGAGCCTCTGTTTTGAAATAACACCTAGCAGACTATGCTGTCAGTAGTTAAACAGTTCAAATCTGTAACCACAATTCGGAAATAGAATATATTAGTCTCACTTATTATTAGAGTAGTGACTATTTTTTTTAAAAAACCCATTATGTTCAGATTCCTGCAACATATCTTAACCAAATTGGACATGTAAAGTTACTGAGTGACAGTATTTAGTCTACTGGCTTTTTTTTTAAGGTTTAGGAGTAATAAATCTGTTTAGAGACAGGCTTTCTTAAAGCCTTGCTTGTATACAAGTGCCTGTGCTTGTAATGTAAAAGTTGTAAAAAGGATGTGGTTCATATAGTGTGGGGTTTTTTTTAATTATTATTTCAACGTAGCTTACTGGAAATTACATTTCCTGTTCATATTACCCCAAAATGTATTTTGAGCTTCAAAAGAAGCATTACAGTAGGTAGCAGAGCGCAAAACAGTCTGTCTACTGATGTATTTTGCTTGAAGACAAGCTTAACAGTCAATGAAGAGCTGATTCATGTGCGTATTTGTGTGTTTTTTAAGACTCATGCAACTTTTGTGACAGCACCACCAGCCAAGTGTCTAGCTCAGCAACACGGTTCTGAAACAGTGGGAGCTCTTTGGCTCAGTGATTTTACTCCAGGTAAGCAAGCTTGTTTTAGCTGCTTGCCCAGTGAAGTTACCTTGCTGTCAACTTGAGAACTGAATTAATTTCAATGTTTTATTTGAAAGTGTTGGCTTTGTATTTTTGCTTTCCGGCTGCCTTCCTGAGAGATGAGGTGTAATTTTTATTTATAATATGCTGGTGTGGGGGGGGACTCGCACTGGGAACATGACAGCCAGCCACAATTCTAGATACTCATATTCATTCCTTCTCTACTCCTATCTTCTGAGAGCCATATAGAAATACCTGCTGTGGTGTGGCTGTGTCACCATAAATACGGTTTTCTTGGCTGCTGTTCACACGAGGAGAGCGATTTGCTGTTTTGCTTTATAGGTGGGGAGCTGAGACAGGGGGAAATATTCCTGCCAGCTAGCCGTAGACACCTGATGGGGACTACGCTTCTATAATCACTAGAAAGGTAATGGTCAATGCTGTTCCCTGGAGGTACTCTTCGCTTTCATTTGAGAGATCCAGGGAGACTAGAAGCTGGAGAGCCCAGGTAATCTGAAGCTAGGCAGTAATACTCCAGAGGACTTGCCTAATGTGGCAAAACTACTCAGTGAAAATACAAATATGCGACATCTCAGTTCTGGGGACAAGCATTTTCTGTCTCTGAATGGTTTAGAACAAGCTAAATGGAAGAGTGGAACTGAAAGCATTCATGTGGTGGTTTTGCCTGTCAGTTATTGTTGTAAATCATGAATGCTTCATCTTTCTGTTCTCTCAGGAGACAAATACCTCGACACCTGCCAGGAAACGGGAGACTTCACTCCGAAGTAACTGATAAACAAGCGTGAAGCATGAGGATCAACTCTGCTATTCAGGCTGCTATTGACCTCACAGCAGGAGCTGCAGGTAATGATGGAGAGAACTTAATTGCACAAAACTCCTGAGGGACAGCTTTAATACCTTTGAGTGTAAAAGCAATTTCCCATTTCTATAGAAAGCCTTGCCCTCTCTATCTTAAGGATATGCAGGTGAAGCAGCTGACCTCAGCCAGTGTTGTAGCTGCATGACTATTGCTTCTCCCTGGTGAAACCCCTGCCAAAAAGTGAAGGTGTAATCCTTATTTCACACTAAGAATTTTCCAGGAAGAGACTTAAGTTCCAGCGTTTGTTCTCATGTTTACATGAGTTTAAGAATCAGTCACAAATAGAGTTTTGCAGTTAATTAGGTGTGTGTGAGTGACTGAGGTGCTGCTTTTGTCACAAGAACCCTCTCTAAGTGAAATGGGCAAGAGGCTGTCTGAAGGGATATTGGCTCAGGCAACATCCCAGTGTAAATCTTTAAAAGCTGGGAAACTCAGTAGTAGAACTAACAATCATGAATTCACTTAACTAACTTTCACTTCAATCTAGTCTGTGCTATAAAGTTTTGCTGGACCAGTTGTGGTGATCACAGTCCTGGAAACAGTAATGTCACACTGACATTACCATGAATCAATTGTTAACTCTCTTAGAGAAAAGGGGTCTTTTTGACATTTCTAAGCTTCATCTGTGGTTAAAAATAGCTATTGTAGAAGTACTGGAAAAGCTTTTGTCATGAGGGCAGGCTTAGCCACAGAGGTACTAGTTTCCGATGGAAGCTTAGATGATATCCAGAGCAGATGAGGTTGGGGTAGGATAGTTAATTTGATAATGTTCATACAGAAAAGGTGTAAGGAAAGATTTATTTATTGTAGTGTTATAGTCAGCTTAAACAGTTTAATGTTTTGTTTTTTTTTTTCTTGTCCGTACAATAGCTATTACAATCAGTCCTTTTATGACTGTGTTAATGCTGTGGATATGACAGTATTAATGGTGTTAAGTGCATTCAGGGTAGTTATCTGAGGAGTTATTTGTCAGAGTGGAGTTAACCTTAGTGCAGAGAATGCAAGGGGCGACAGATAACATGAGTCCAATGTGGCACCTTTGTAAAGCATTTCATCTGCCACCCCGTTTTGCCTGGTGGATACCAGCTTTGTTGGCATTTGCAGAATGCGTTACTGACTCTTGCCCTGTAAGGGAAGAGAAGTATTTCTGCTCTTATTCCCTTGTTGCCTTAGAAAAAAAAAAAAAGTTTCTGTTACTCTGTTCATTCTCCTCGGTTTTTGGGTCCTCAGTAAAGAACAGCTATCATATCTGCTCTATTTCCCAAAGTAGTAATGTAATATTTGTGCAGTTCTTGGTTTTGCGAGTGGTTCCAGGTGCCTGAATGGATGGTGTGATTGCTTTCCTTCCCGGTACTTCAGCTCAGCAATGCTGCTGTTAACATCCAGGGCAGTGGAGCACTCTGGCTTAGGAAGTTATCTTTCTGTGTTGAAGCCTGGTGTGGCTCATCTTGGCTACCACAAGAGCTGGAAACTAGCATTAACTTAGAAATCTGTTGTTTGGTGATACTGTTCCATGCCTATATCCAGTCTAACAGGGTGTGCACTTGAGGTTTGCCTGGTCTTTGGCAGTAGAGCTTAGAGGATCTTAGAACTAATTATGCTGTTTTCTTCTCTGGACTAGTTCTTCCTTCCTTCTAATAAGATGAAGGAATTCAGACCTGTTTCAACATGACTTCAGTAATCCTAAGTCATTGTTCTTTTTCTTTGCTACTTCTGTTGTAATAGAATACTGTTCTTCTAGTATTTATTTTCCGTATTATTTCCACATACTTGCTTTGTGTTGCCTATGTTCATTGGTAGCGCTTGTTTCTGTGTTACATATGTCTGTACACCCTTTAGTATGTAACTAGGCAAACAGCTAGTTCCTCCAGCAAATGCGTAACCTGGTTTTACCTTCCTCTCCAGATAGTCTTGACTAGCTGATAAGTAATGACATATCGGAGCAAGTACATTCTGAACAAGAATAAATAAGTCATTTAGCTGCCTGCAGGTCATAGTCCTTTGCCTAGGATCTGAGCAACCTCTAATCACTTCTTTAAGTAAGACTTTTCCCCCACCATTCCCATGTTATTATTAGGATCACGTTTGCCTAAACTTAGAAGCAGTGTTGACTTTTTTGTTTTTCTTGTTTTGTTTTTGTTGGTGGTGGTTTTTTAGACTCTACTGCTGGCTGGAAGAATTATTGTTTTTCTTTAATATTTTAGATATTAACTGGGACTCTTGGTCTTCACCTTGAGGCTTACAAAGTTCATTGCTGTAGTTTACAGGGCTTCTTGTGCCACCTCCAATGACAGTGTAAGGAGATCCCTTTCTCTTTTTGGAACAGCTGTTCACAGTCAACTCTCAATTTTTCAGTTTTGCATTCCCAAGACCATTTGTGGTTTTCTTGGGCTTCTTCCAACAGCCGTTATTTTACTGCATGTGGTTGTTTTAGGTCTACCTTTACACAGGAACCTAGCACTTGTCCTGTAGATTAATACCTACCTGACTTGCCTGCAAGCAGCATTGGCTGAGCCTTTCCAGCTCTGCTTTTCATCTGAGGCTTGCATGGATGTTACTGTATGAGCCAGCTACTTCTCTCCTTTGTTATCCCTCCCAGAGCAAGAAGCTCTTTAGAGCCAGACATGCAAGAAAGCACGAAGCTTTTAGTGATCCATCTGGTTGAGGATGAGGTTTTATGGGAGTGAGGATCTCGAGTTCCTTTTAAAGACCTGAAGTACCTCTTTGCAGAGGAGCAACAATGATGTAACACAGATGTGTTTGCAAAGAGTAAAATCAATTGAAAATTACCCTGGTTAAACAAATGCTTACTTTTCTATTCCCCACTTAGAAGAAAAATGACTAATCTTAATTGGATTGTCGCATTTCTTTCTATTTCAGTTTCTTTACATTGCTTTCATTTACAGATAATCATTTCAGTTTCATAGCTGAAAAAACATCTTTTTAACTTGCCCTCTTTAAGGTATATGCATGTCAACTGTGCTTTGGTTGAAGATCAGCTTCTGTTTTACAATGGTTCTTCTCTCTTGCTGAAAAATGAAACCATAAAGTTTATATGAGGTACACCTATCACGTGCTTCCTGTAAGGTATTGGCTCCTAATAGATTGCTGTCAACGTATGCTGAAGCATACACACTTTTTCTTACTGAAAAAGTGTAACGTTAGCTCTTTCTGCAGACTACTGAATCGAGTTAGATCTTGTGAAAGAAAACTGCACCGTGGGTAAAGTGGTTATTGATGACATTGATGGAAATACCTCACAAGTTTTCAGGGTATTGACCTTGCAGTTCAGTTTGGAAAAGATAACGTGTTGAGAAACTTTGCCCTTTTGCCCTTTTTCAGCTTATCCTGGATGCTTTCTTCCAGTATGTGGGAATAAATGTAAATAAGAATCATCTGGAGTTTTGAAGTAAAGAGCTTGAGTCTTTGTTATCAATTTCTAATGCATCATCAGTTTTAGCAGTTTCTCAGCAGTGTTCCTCTTGTCCTGGGGGAATCTTTGTCTCAGTTGATTACTAATAGTTCAGGTTTTTTGTTATTGTTGGAATGTAAAATCAGATGGCTTCTGAACCACTGCATTAATGAGCAAGGGAAACTGTTGCTTAACTTGTTAACACAAGTGACTTGATTGCAGAACAATACCTCTAATTCAATGTCCATTTATGTAAGTGAACTGATTCATTTAGGTGCTTGCTTTTAGTAAGGTAAAGAAATGTTTAATGAGAATCAAGCTGTTACCGCTCTTATGTGTGACTTTTTTTTCTTCAGGTAACTAAATTCACCACTGGTAGTTGATGCCATTGTGCTAAAATCAGTGCAGTTGTCTTTTCCTGCGACACATTCTTTCATCTTTGCTTTCTGTGTGATTTTCCTAGTAGTGCTGTTTGTGCATAGGCATTTCAGTTGTGATAACTTTCAGCCATCCTCTTAAATTCCACTGCTTGCTTAGGTGGGACAGCATGCGTGGTGACTGGCCAGCCCTTCGACACTGCAAAAGTGAAGATGCAGACGTTCCCCGAAATGTACAAAGGAATTGTTGACTGTTTTGTGAAAACCTATAAGCAAGTGGGGTTTCGAGGCTTCTACAAGGGAACCACACCGGCACTTGTAGCCAACATCGCGGAGAACTCCGTTCTGTTCATGTGCTATGGATTTTGCCAACAAATTGTCAGAAGAATTGTTGGAGTAGACAGGAAAACAAAGCTCAGGTTAGTAATAGAAATCTGTTTCATATTTTTAAAATAAATAAATTTAAAAATCATGCAACTGCTACTTGCAAATACTGTATTGTCAGGGTGCAACTGATGTCCCAAGCCCCCCTCTGCCAGTATGCAGCATAGTAAGTTTTGGAACACAGACCTTTGTGCTAGGATATGGTGTCTAACTAGGACAGAGCCATCTACTTGTCACTGCAGCTGGCTGCTTTAGGTAATCATAACTTAATGGGAATATTCAAGGCCTGGAACATCTTGCCAAAGGGAATGAGCCACTTTAACACCTGACAGTTGATATTTCCTTGATCTCTAGGTAGTTCTGATTTTGTGGAGGAGGTAATAGTTCCTCTTGCTAGGAGCCACACTAAGAAGAAAGGATGCTTTTCTAATATTGCCTTGCTTTTTAAATTTACTTATTTGAGTTTCAAAAGCGTGATTGTAATGGTGGTTAGACCAAGGGTCTCATTTTGCACAGTGTGTTGTCTACAATATCAGCAATAAGTGGTTGCCTAAGGAATGACAAAGAAGAGAGAGAGTGTTTAATGTTTGCTCTGAGTCCTCTGCCAGGCTGTGCTCTTAGTTCAGAGGATTTCTTGAGCCTGGTGTGATCCAGTCTGTGACTTTGGATCTCTTTTGAAGCACTTGTCTGGTCTCCCCTCAAATTCTTCTAAGTTCCTTGTGTCTGTGGTACACTTTGGCAGGGAGTTCTGCAGGTGATAATTGTTAGTTCTGTAACTGGAAGAGGCAGTTGGTCCATAGCCACTGTATCTGTGCCACTTGGAATTTTGTAGACCTCTATCCATTGGACCATGCCCCTTTTCCCCACCTGAGTCTTGTCCTAGCTGGAAGGATCCCAGCCCTCCTAGTCAGTGAGCCCTTGGGAGCTGTTCCTTTAACTGTCCTTGTTGCCTTTCTCTGAAACTCTTGTAATTCTAATGCATCTGGGTTTGAGCTCATGAGACCAGAGTAGTGCAGAGTATTCAGGTTGTGAACAAGTTGTGGATTTATGCACTGGCATAACTATCACAATCTCTTTCTAGCTAGGATGGCTTTTCTCCAGGTGCATCACTTTAGAGCTGTCAGTGGTCCAGCAGTCTCAGTGTGCCTTACGTATTTCTCAAGGTATGTCCTTCTGAGCAGCACTGAAAGTAGCTGCGCCTTCTCCATCCTTGTGCTGCCCCACAGTGTGTAAAAGACTTCTCATACTGTCCTAACTCCATTCATTCAAAGAGTAACACGAGGTTAACCACATTCAGCTTTTTATTAATAGCTTTGTTCTGCCACTCTCGCATCTGTCTCCAAATGGAAGTAGCTGAGGAGGCCATGATTCTGCATTTGAGACCTCTGGTATGACGTAGGTAGCTACCTAAGTGCAGGACAAGTATCTAAAACTGGCATTATGTGAGGTGTTCTCCTGTGACATTAAAATGTGCCGTATCTTAAGACTGAGGCCTGCTATGAGGGACTATGAAGCAATGAAGATACTTATATTAATTGCTCTCTACTTGCATTCTCTCTCACTGTTTTCTGGCAGTTGAGACCTCTCAGCTGAGACAGAATTGTTTCCACCTTTTTATTGCTTGCTTAGATCAGGGATTTTCTGCTTGCTCAGCTTACAGACCCCTTATCTTTTTCTGCCCACCAAAATGTAGGAGCTGGGCCTACCAACAGCATGCTTCGCTGCTTAGTCATCTTTTGTGATCCTCCTGGCAGGTAGACCACAGACTTGCAGAGGTCCTAGGATCATCTCTTCAGGTGACTGAGACAGCATGTTTAGGCTGTATGTAAGGGATGTAGTGCAGGAAACTTTCAAACAACATACACAGGTGTACTAGGATAGATGTAGGATACAGAATGGGAATGTAATTTGAATATGCAGCAATAGCAAGTGCCTCTGACATCTCACCCTTCTTTTCTTGGTCAGGTACTGGTACTTTTCAGATCCAGGATGGCTGTTTAATTGATTGTTGATTGAAGAGCAAATAGTGTGACTGTATGGCTGTACTGGGACAAAATAATAAAGGATTTAGGTTTACTTGAAAAGTTTCTCCCTTATTGGTGCTCCCTTGGACTCTTCAACTGGATCATTGCGGGGGGCATCTCATGAGGTGCATGTATGAGAGAATTGTATTGACACAGTATGCAGTGGTCCCCTGAGTACATGTGGTCTGTCCAGGACTTCTCCACCTGTTCTCATTGTGGAAGAGTCAAGAAGTCTTTGTAGTGTGCTGTAGGAGAGTGAAGAAAGCCCAATCAGGTGGCCATCCTCAAGATGTGACAATAAAGAACTATAATCACCTTCATTGCCTCTGCTCTTTAAAAACTGTCATACTGTCTTAGCTTGAAGAAGAAAATGCGTCAGGTTGCAAACTGAGGTGAATCTGACCATTTTTCTTACCATATCTAAGCAATTGCTTCTCACTTTTTCATTATTTTATAAAGTTTGCTATTTCTCAAAACCAGCTATAATAGTTTGGTTTTGCTTTAAGTTACCTTTCCAGTCATACCTTTAAATGGCCTGGAAATAAGCTTGCGTAGCCCGCCTGTGTTTAGGGATATCCCGCTTAGTGTGTGAAGCCTTGCAAAACAGTTACAAGGACAGTTACAAAACACCGCTTTTTCCGGGTAAAGGAATGCATGCCACTGATGCGTAAGTCAAAAAGAAAACAAATGGAGAGATAAATGCTAAATTCCATTTATCTTTTAACATCCATTTAGTCCACCCAAACTGATTTCATTCTATGCTAAAGTCTAAACTGAAACAACCAAAGGGAAA